TAACATAATTTAATAAATATAACATATTACTAAAAAAATCTTAACTAATATATATATATATATACGAATAAGCATATGATATTAACATTTCTTTTATTATTATTATTTTCAAATGGTTTAAGCAACAGACCAGATACATCAATTTTATATAGTCGTATAGGTATATTAATAGTATTTTATAGTATGATGTCATCATATACAACATTATATATAACATACTTAGAAAAAGGAATAGGATTATATGGAGGATTATTCAATATAACGGCTGTAACACAAGTATTTCAAATGTTTATATTAATAATATGTGGAATAATATTATTAATGACAGCTTTTTACCCTAGAAAAAAATATATAGGAGATTCCAATACAATGATAGATGTATTATTTAAAAAAGTAAAAGAATATACAAATATAATAAACAAAGTATCAGAACAATTTACGTTAATAGAGTATACTTTAATAATAATATTTGTTATAAGTGGAGCTATGTTATTACTAGCTAGCGGAGACTTAGGATCTTTATATTTATGTATAGAGTTACAAAGTTTTAGTTTATATATAATATCATCAATGCATAGAAATTCAGAGTCTTCTACAGGTTCTGCTTTAACCTATTTTTTATTAGGTGGTTTAGCTTCTTGTTTTATATTATTAGGTATAGGATTAATATATGCTAATTCTGGGTTAACAAATCTAGATGGAATATATTCTATTATTTCAGATTCAGAAAAATATACTGATTATTCAACTTGATATATGCATAGCTATATTTTTTATAGTTTATTGTTAATATCAGTAGGACTTTTATTTAAAATAGGTGCTGCACCATTTCATTGATGATCTCCGGATGTTTATGATGGAGTTCCAACTATAGTAACAACTTTTATAGTTATATTTGGAAAATTGGCTATATTAGTATTATTATTAGAATTAGTGCAATATACTAGTTGTTTATTACAATCTACTATACAATATTATTCTTGAACAACAAGTTTATCTATAAGTTGTTTCTTATCTTTAATAATTGGAACAATATTAGGTTTAACACAAACAAGAATAAAAAGACTATTAGCTTATAGTACTATATCACATTTAGGATTTATATTATTAGCATTAATAGTACATAACATAGATTCATATCAAGCATATATTTTTTATATAATTCAATATATTGTAACAAATGTAAATGTATTTATAATATTAATAGCTATTGGATTTAGTTTATACTTATATTATACAAATATATCTGAATATAATAATTTACAAGAAAAAAATAATAGCCCTATACAATTAATTAGCCAATTAAAAGGTTATTTTTCTATTAACCCTATTTTAGCTTTATGTCTAGTTATCACTATGTTTTCATTTATAGGATTACCTCCTTTAGTAGGATTTTTTGGAAAACAGATGGTTTTAACAACAGCATTAGATAATAATAAAATTATTCTAGTTTTAGTTGGTGTTTTAACTAGTGTTATAGGAGCAGTATATTATTTATCTGTAATAAAAACAATATATTTTGATAAATCACAATATGAAAAAACTTATATGTATATAGATATTTCATTATCTAACGCTTATTCTATAACATTAAGTATATTAAATTTAGGTATTATAAGCTTTATATTTATGCCTAATGAAATATTAAATCTATGTAATTTACTATCTATCATAACCTTTTCAATAAGTTAATACAATTAATATATTAAATGTAAAATATTTGAATTATCTAGTTCGTAGTAATTTTCAATCTCATCCTTATCATTTAGTATCTCCAAGTCCTTGACCTTTAAATACAAGCTTATCATTATTAGCATTAACTTTTAGTGCAGTATTAGCTTTTCATAGTTTTAGTATGGCAATTAATAATTTATTTTTTGCTTTATTAGCTTTAATTTTATCAATGTCATTATGATTTAGAGATGTTATATCAGAAGGAACATATTTAGGTAATCATACTTTAGCAGTACAAAAAGGGCTTAATATGGGTGTTGCTTTATTTATAGTATCAGAAGCTTTATTTTTCTTAGCTATATTTTGAGCATTCTTTCATAGTGCTTTATCACCTACTATTGAATTAGGTGCAAAATGACCACCTATGGGTATAAATTCAATAAATCCTTTTGAATTACCATTATTAAATACAGTAATTTTATTATCTTCAGGTGTGACAATAACATACTCACATCATTCTTTAATACAAGGTAACAGAAGTGGAGCATTATATGGTGCTGTTTATACTATAATATTAGCTGTTATATTTACTGCTTTACAAGGTATTGAGTATACAGTTTCATCATTTACTATCTCAGATGGTACATATGCATCATGTTTTTATTTTGGAACAGGATTCCATGGATTACATGTTATAATTGGAACAGCTTTCTTAGCAGTAGGTTTCTGACGAATGTTAGCTTACCACTTAACTGAAAATCACCACTTAGGTTTTGAATCAGCTATCTTATACTGACATTTTGTAGATGTTGTATGATTATTTTTATATATTTCTGTATATTATTGAGGATCATAGAATAAATATCAAATATTTATTTTAATTTAATAAAAAATACTTTTAAATTTAAGAAAAAAAATAAAAGATATTATTAAATAAGTATATTAGAACAATTTGTTCTAATGTTTATAAAAAGATACAATAAGTCTAGTATAATAAATATTTTTAATTGATAAATTTTATCAATTAGTATAAAAAGAAATTATTATGAATAAAAAACAAGCTATAAACCAAAGAATTTACTAAGAAAGATCTTGTAAATAAACAAGGTGAAAGGAAAAATCCGAATAACCTTAGGAAAATAAATCAAACGAGATTCTACATACAATGTGAAGTAAGGTAGAACAGCCTATTAATATATAAGTAAAATGGATTATCTGTTTGAATAAAGGGGAACCTTCCTCTAAGGCTAAATATGGTATTATACGCAATAGTGAATAGTACCGTGAGGGAATTTTATTTAATAGTAGTTTTATAAGCAGCTCAAGAAAAATTTTAACAAATAACAAGAGCGTACCTTTTGCATAATGGGTCAGCAAGTTAATTTTAGATGCAAGGAACAAAATTATACATTTAACATATAAAATATAGTTATAGTATAAAAATTAGTTTCGTAGAGAAATCGATTATGAAAAAATGAGAAAGTATCTAAAGTTAGACCCGAAGACTAGTGATCTTACTATTATCAGGATTATAAAAGTCCGAATGGGTTATCGTTGTAAAGATATCCAAAGAATGATGGTAAGTTAGTGAAAGACAAAACTGACTAGTTGAGCTGGTTTTCCGCGAAACCTATATTAGTAGGTAATTTAAACAACATCTTGGCAGGTACAGAACTGTGATCTCGGTCAAAATATTTATAATGTATTTACATTATAAATTTGTATATATCGGGGGATCGTAAAGATTTTATCGGAGAGTATTTGCACTCGGAAGGGCTAAGATGAATATTAAAAAATCGGACATAGTACGATAAGGTTGTATGTCAAAAGGGAAACAGCCCAGAACAAGAGTTAATAAGGTTCCAAAATTATTGTTAAGTGAAATTAAGGATGTGTCTTTTGATACGATCAATTAATAGGCTTGGAAGCGGCCATATTTTAATGATCTCGTAACAGAGCATTGATTTTTTAAGAAGATCACACCGAAAATATAACGGATCTAAACAATATACCGAAACCTTGTCCATATATAGTTTATTTTTTAACAAAATATATATGGGGTAGCGGAACAATGGATAAATCATAATTATTTTTATTTTAATCTTAATTTTTTATTTTCCATGTGATAATGCTGACATGAGTAACGAAAAAGATATTCGCCTAAAGCTTATGGTATTTAATAAAAACGGCTTCTAATACATATAAATCGTTTCTGATTTTTAATGATGAAGATGAAATACTAAAAAAACTAATTAAAGTTAAATTAGTTCAGGAAAATACTAAAGAAAAAATTTTTTTTTCTTGTTAACCGTACCTAGATACTAACACAAGTAAGCTAGTAGAGAATACGAAGGCGTTTGAGTAATCAATCATTAAGGAACTCGGCAAAATGACTCGCGTAACTTCGGGATAAGGTGAGCCATTCTTTTTAAGTTTTTACTATATTGTTTATAAGAAAATAGAGGCATAAACCCTGCTATCTAAGTTAACAATATATGTAGAACCAAAAGAATAGGAGGCATAGAATAGTGTTGTACGACTGTTTATTTAAAACAGAGCACTCTGCTAAGATAGATATCAATATATTGAGTGTGATGTCTGCCCGGTGTCGGCTGGGTGACGGATTTGCTTAGAATTAAAAAGCTAGGCTTTGAAGAGATCCCCGACAAACGGCGGCCTTACCGATGAGGGTCCTAAGGTAGCGGAATACCCTGGCCGTTAAATGCGGTCTTTGCATGAATGATGTAACGATACAACAGCTGTCTCGATGATTGGCTCAGTGAAATTGGAATAGCAGTGCAGATACTGTTTACCTCTAGATAGACGAGAGTGCGACTAGAAAGTGCATAATAATAATATGGTGAAAACCCATCATACAATCCATTGTATGAGCTCATACGGTATATTAAGAAAGTAATTTTTTTGTATAAAGCCCGTAAAAATTCTGCCTAATTAGGGAGATGAGCTAGATTACTATGAATAAATTATTTGAATCCATGGTTAAAGCGTAATCTAGAAAATTTGTTTAATATTAAATGAATTTTTTGTTGATTGTATAAAAAGTTTCTCGTCTTTTTATTTATGGATCTTATATCAACATACGTGTAGTGGAATTCTAAGGTAATCATTAAAGTATTATTATGTAAACTAGGTAAGCCCAATAATGTCCTTTAAAGGAAGTTTAATTGTAAAATTAAATATACATTAGTGGGTATAGGATGTTCTAAAAAGCAAAAGTCTTATTGTAATAATAGGAATAGATTTTTAATTGATTCGAAAGAATGCAGACTTAGAACTAGAATTTAACATTATATAAATTATGGTAATAGAGAATTGGCTGAGTGGTTTATAGCGATAAGCTTGAAACTTATTTGATTTAAAAAATCACATCCGTTCAAATCGGATATTCTCTGGTATTTATAACTTAAAAATAAATATCATAATATATAATCATTAAATTCTTGAGCCGTATGCGATGAAAATCGCATGTACGGTTCTTGAAGGGGGAAATTTTAGTAATAAAATGACCTATCTTAACAGACCCTTTGCAGCTTTACTGTTACTACTTTAGAATTTAATATAAGAATTACAAGAGTATAAGGTAGTTACTTTTTAAAAGTAACAATGATGTGACACCTTTATTTACTTTATTAGATTCGGTTGATTAGAAGACAGTTTATGCGGGGCACAGATCCCAGAAAAAGTACCTGGGTATATCCAAAATTCTATTCGTGAATTTACATGTTAAATGTAAATATGTATTGAAAAAGTTTTTTCACTACATTTTCAATTTGTTATTTTTATAATTTATTCAGTTACTGTGATTTTAAATATTTTTATATTTTTTATTTAAGTAAGATTTTAACTATATGGTGAATAGTTGTAGAACGAATTTTAAAATATTTTAAAATTCATAATTGTAGTATTTATACTATGATATTAAATAATACTGTAAAAGTTTAATGGCTTAATCTTGCTTTACTGTTAGACCTACAAGTCCATCAGTCGCGTAAGCGGGGCATAAGATCGCAAGATACTGAAAGGTAAGGTCTTGTATTTTTGAAAAAGTTACGCTAGGGATTATATGTTAGTCCCCCAATATTTATAAATATTGGTAATAATATGGATAAATTTCAAAAAACACTATATGTATATAGTTAATTTGAAGCGAAACTTATTTTTAATAAGAACGTTCAACGACTAGTTAAATCCATCATATGTATATATTTATAATAAATATTAATATACCTTATTAATGAAATAGATTTAATTTAATTAAACAATTTATATAATCAGTATATGAAATTACTATCTATAATAAAAAAAACTAATATTAATAAACCTTATAATTTTGATAATACAGATAGTTTAAAGCATTTTCCTGCTTCTACTAGATATTGAGATAGTAGTATATTTACATATAATAATAATACTTTATCTTTAATACCTAATATTAGTAGATTAGCTATAAAACTTATTAGAAATTATTTTTTTTTATACAATACAAATATTGAACAAAAAATAAGAAGAAAAAAAATATATAATAGACGAAGAAAATTATCTATTAATAGAATTTTTCTTAGTAAAGGTGAATTTAAACATACAAATAATAAGGTAATTATTACTTTATATGTTTATAATAAACAAAAAAAATAATTATTTATTAAAATTAAAAAAAAGATATATAAATAAACTTTTAATAAATATTCTTAGTTTAAAAAAAACCTTTATCTTATAAAAAAAAATATATTATCTAATAAATTAATTTTATTAAAAAAAATTAAAAAAAATTAATATTAAGGGTACTTTAGCATTAATAGATGCTAATTTATTTAAACCTAAAATAGCAAGAATATTAAAAAATTTACATCAAAAAAGAAAAATAAATAAATATATAGCTGTATCTAGATATGTTAATATATTTTATAAAAGTTTTATTAAAAAATCTTTAAGAAGATTACTTGTATATACTTATTATAGAAGATTAATATATGTAAATAGATCTAGATTTAACTATACTTATTTACAATTTATAAAAAATAAATTACAAGGTTTATTTAATAAAAACATCGAATTTAATTTTATAAATTTAAAATATTTTTATTTAAATAGTAATATTCTTTCAGAATCTATATTATTAAAAATAAGAAAAAACAGAAGAAGATTAATGAGACATTTAGCTAATTTAGAAAAAAAAATAATAATTAAGAAAAAAAGAGTTATTTTAGGCGAATTAATAAAAAAAGAAGATTTAAGTATAAAAAATTATTATAATAATAATAAATTATTATACAAGAATATAATAAAAAATCTTAAATATAAACATATTGCCGGTTTTAGATTAGAAGCTAATGGTAGATTAAATAAAAGATATACAGCCTCTAGATCTATAAACAAACTTAAATATAAAGGAAATTTATTAAATATAGATTCTTCATATAAAGGTTTATCTTCTGTATTATTAAGAAATAATTTAAATTCAAATTTACAATTTACAAAATTAAATTCTAAAACTCGTATTGGTTCATTCGGATTAAAAGGTTGAGTAAGTGGAAATTAATTGGAAAATTAAAAAACAAATATATACTAAAAATGAAAACATAGTCTGAACCATATTGAAAAATATGGAAAAAAAAAATATTTTTTTTGTTAACAAATTGAACAGGCTAATAAGCGCAAGAGAGTACAAATTGAGTGCGCGGTTTGGCACCTCGATGTCGGCTTAGCTCATCCTCTTGAACGTAGGAATCATGAAGGGTTCGACTGTTCGTCGATTAAAGAGCTACATGAGTTGGGTTTAATACGTCGTGAGACAGTATGGTTTCTATCTTCTAGAGGGACTTTGAGTAAAATAAGAATATCCCCTTTGTACGAAAGGAATTGGGTATGTTGACCTATAGTTTACTTGTTGTTTATTAAATAAGTATTTTAACTAAAGTACCATATTTTAATAGGCATAGCAAGAAAGCCACGTCAATTAAAGATAAGAGCTGAAAGCATATAAGCACGAAACTTATTTTATTATACTCATATAAACGTAATATAACATTACGTACTAGGCTTTAGCTATACGGACATATATGTCTTTAGGTATAAAGTACTAATAATTAATTTACTAAAAAATACAATTATGCAAATAATATTAAAGCCTGGTTAACATAAAAGTAATGTAACCGTTTTGTAATCGGTAGAAGTAAGTGCGATACTTACACTGGGCTTAGACCCAGTGGTCAAGTTGGTTAAGACATAACTTTTTCACAGTTAGAACAAGAGTTCAAATCTCTTCTGGGTTGTTAGCGGGTTAGTGTAATGTTAACATTTTTGGCTCATGACCAAAAGATTGGGGTGCGATTCCTCAACCCGCTTATTTAGGGAGATTAGCTCAATGGTAGAGCGCTCGTTTTACACACGAATTGTTAAGTGTTCAAGTCACTTATTTCCCATAATATATATATATATGTGTCTAAATATATATATATATATAGGTGGATATAGTTTAAGGGTAAAACAACTATTTGTGGCATAGTTTATCCTTGTTCAAATCAAGGTTTCCTCCCTTTATAAAAAAGCCTTTATAGCTCAAAGGTAGAGCAATATACTGTTAATATATCGGTTAGATGTTCAAATCATCTTAAAGGCGCAAAGGCTATAGCTTAATGGTAGAGCCAACTGCTCATGACAGTTAAGGTGAGTGTTCAAGTCACTCTGGCCTTACAAAGGCAGATTAATTTAATGGTAGAATATTGTGTTTCGGCCACATTCATATGGGTTCAAATCCTATATCTGTCTTCAATATAAATTTAATTATGTAATTATTTTTAATTATATAGAAAGAAGCACAAAATACACCATAACCTTTATCCGAGTGCTGGAATTGGTAGACAGGACGAACTTAAGCTTCGTTGATATTAATCATAAACGTTCAAATCGTTTTTCGGATATAAAAAAAATATAAGTTTAATTATATGTTAATAATAGTTTATATTATATAAAAGGGGGTATAGTTTAACTGGTAAAACGGCGAATTTGCACTTCGTTAATTTAGGATCGAGTCCTGATATCTCCATATATTTTTATAAAAAAGCTCGAGAAGCTCAATTGGTTGAGCGGAACACTGAAGATGTTTAGGTTATAAGTTCAAATCTTATCTCGAGCATTTAATAGATGTGCTGAAATTTGGTAACCAGGTTCCGCTTAGGACGGAATAGCTAATAACTTTACAAGTTCGAGTCTTGTCGTCTATACAATAAAAAAAAATATGTTGTCGACTAATAGGTAAGTCATAAATTTTTGGTATTTACTATTGAGTGTTCGAATCGCTCCAACATAGATTATTAATTGATTTATTTTAATCACTATTTTATGAAAAAATAATTATTTTTCAAATTTATTAAGTATTATCTTTATAATTAATCATTTTTTAATCTTTAATAATAATACTTAAAAATATAACAGTTATAGGATATTTATTTATTCTTAAATTCTTTAGTATATTTGAAACTGTTATAATATATTTAGTTTTACATACTTAATTTATAAATTTGATACAAGCAGCTAAAATAATTGGTACAGGTTTAGCCACAACTGGTTTAATTGGAGCCGGTGTAGGAATAGGTGTAGTTTTTGGTGCACTTATAATAGGTGTATCTAGAAATCCATCTTTAAGAGGACAACTATTTTCATACGCTATTTTAGGATTCGCTTTCTCAGAAGCAACAGGATTATTTGCTTTAATGATGGCTTTCTTATTATTATACGTTGCCTAATATTTGTTTATATTAAATATTTTAAACAATTAAAAATTTAAAATAAAAAAGGATAATTATTTTTTATTTAAGAAAAAATAATTAAATCTTAATAGAGATTCTTTAAATAGCTTAAAAAACAAATTAAAAAAAAATTAAAGATCAATAAGAAATATATATATATATAATAAGTGTATTGATCTTATTTTACCTTGTAATTATAAATATTAACCTAAATAATTAAAAAAAAAAATAAATGAGAATATTAAAAAGTCACCCACTTTTAAAAATGGTAAATTCTTATCTAATTGATTCACCACAACCATCTAACATAAGTTACTTATGAAACTTTGGATCTTTATTGGCATTTTGTTTAGGAATACAAATTGTAACTGGTGTAACATTAGGTATGCATTATACACCTAATATTTCAGAAGCATTTGATTCAATAGAGCATATTATGAGAGATGTAAATAATGGATGATTAGTACGTTATTTACATTCTAATACTGCTTCAGCATTTTTCTTCTTAGTGTATTTACACATAGGTAGAGGATTATACTATGGATCATATAAAGCACCACGAACATTAGTGTGAACTATAGGAACTATATTATTAATAGCTATGATGGCTACAGCTTTCTTAGGTTATGTATTACCTTATGGTCAAATGTCTTTATGAGGTGCTACAGTTATAACTAATTTAATGAGTGCAATACCTTGAATAGGACAAGATATAGTACAATTTATTTGAGGAGGTTTCTCTGTTAATAATGCAACATTAAATAGATTTTTTGCATTACATTTTGTTTTACCTTTTGTATTAGCTGCTTTAGCTTTAATGCATTTAATAGCTTTACATGATTCTAGTGGTTCAAGTAATCCTTTAGGTGTATCAGGTAATTATGATAGACTACCTTTCCATCCTTATTATATATTCAAAGATTTAATAACAATATTCTTATTCATAATAGTATTATCTATTTTTGTGTTTTTCATGCCTAATGCCTTAGGTGATAGCGAAAATTATGTTATGGCTAATCCTATGCAAACACCTCCTGCTATTGTTCCAGAATGATATCTTTTACCATTCTATGCAATTTTAAGATCTATACCTAATAAATTATTAGGTGTTATAGCAATGTTTGCTGCAATATTAGCATTATTAATTATGCCATTTTCAGATTTATCAAAATTAAGAGGTATACAATTTAGACCTTTAAGTAAAGTAGCATTCTTTATATTTGTTGCAAACTTCTTAGTTTTAATGCAATTAGGTGCAAAACATGTTGAATCTCCATTTATAGAATTTGGACAAATATCTACTGTTTTATATTTTTCACACTTTTTAGTTATAGTACCGTTTATAACATTATTAGAAAATAGTTTAGTAGATATAGCATTATCTAATACATCACAAAAATAGATAAAACAGGTTTTCATAATACTAAAAAATCAAAGTGCCAATCCTACTCAATTTTTTAAAAATATAAACATAATTAATGATTTAAAATAATATTGGTAGAGAAATAGTGGAGAGAAGAGGGAGGAGGTGGGATATCAAAAAATATCAAATTTTTCATTCAAAAATATTTTTATTTTGATTTAATTAAAATAAATAAATTTACAACAGTTTTTACTTCAAATATATAAATAAAAATAAAAATGACAAGTTTAACTTTTTTTTTTATATTTATACCTATATTAGCTTTAATTTTATTAGGTTTAAATATATTATTATCTCCACATAATCCATATCAAGAAAAGAATAGTGCTTTCGAATGTGGATTTCATTCATTTTTAGGACAAAATAGAACACAATTTAGTATCTCGTTTTTCATTTTTGCACTTTTATTTTTACTATTTGATTTAGAAATATTATTAGTATATCCTTATATAGTAAGTGCGTATACTAACGGTATTTACGGTTTAATAATAATGTTAGTATTTTTCTTTATACTAACTCTAGGTTTTGTATTTGAACTAGGAAAAAATGCATTAAAAATAGATAGTAGACAATGAAATAATATTCAACTAAAAAACTGAAAACAAATAGTATATATAAATAATTAAATAAAAAAAAGAGTAAAGGTAAAATTAATTATCAGTTCAAATCTGAATACTCTAATATAAGTCTGTAATATAATAAATTTTTTGCAATTGAAAAATTTTTTTTCAAAAAACAAAGAAAAGTAAAAAATT